TTACTTCTGTTGGTTGACACCACTACCAGCACCTGAGGAAGGTAGAGGTGGCTGAGTTGGTGAGCAAGAGACTCGAGGCCACTTTGGTGGAGGAGGAAATTGACCTCCTAGTCAGTGAGTGGGAGAATAGAGGATTTCCAAGAGCCTGGGAACGTGGCCAGCCCATCTTTCCCGTCCCAGTGCTCAGATGTCTGAAATAAGACTCCATGAGAGAGCTGCAGGCAAGAAACTACTGCCAGAACACCGGCAGAAAAATCCTCCCATCAGACCTGCAACATTCAAGAAAACAAAGAACACAGAAAAGGGAGGGATCCCCAAGCCAAACACCACTGGGGAGTGTGATTCAAGTCTGGGCAAAGGTGATGCTTACCACGGGGCTCCCCTGCCTTTGGAAAAAGTCACAGCCACCAGAGTCCAGAGAATCAAGGATCCCAATCCCACCAAGGATGTGCAGAGGTGCTATCCACCCAAGGTGCCTGCCCTGGACCGCAGCAAAAGAAGAAACGAGGTGCACTGTGCCAAGATCCACCCATTGAAGCATGAAAAGTCAGACCTGCGGGATCGACGGGAGAAAGAGAGGGAGAAGATATGCCAGGTGCATGAAGCACTGAAAACAGACCTAGAGATCCACAAGCCACCCATACAGAGGTTGGATTTGGCAGAAAGCAATTTACAATGTGCACCAGCCTACATGCAGCAGGTAGCCAATGACAGAGAAATGGAGCATGAAGCTCTCACCAGCCGCCCACAGGCTGCAGAGCGGCGCGTGGTGGAGCTGGAGATGGCGGCTTCTGCGGTCACTGCAGCACAGAAGGAGGCTGAAATGTTCTTCAAACAGCTGAATGATGTAACACTTCAGCTCGAGGAAAAGACCAGAAGCTTCAATGACCTGGAACAAGTGAATACAGAGTTGCAGGAGAAGCTGGAAGCACTCTGGACCCAGAGAAACAACATGAAGAAGAGAATCTGCAAGTTCCAACAAGCCCTGGCAGGGCGTGAGGTCCTGAAGAGACGACTGGACAATCTGAGGTGGATAGTGACCGCAGCAAATCTTGAAAGAGACACCTTCGCAGAGGACCTGAGCATTGAGAGGTCCGCATGGAAGGAAGAGGCCCAGCAGCTGACCCAGAGGGTGAACCAACTGACAGAGGAGAAGGAGCAAGTGTCAAGGCAGGTGCTAGCCCTACAGAATGAGCTGGGCGAACTGAGAAGGAAGCGGGCAGAGTCAAGGCCCCCCACACGACCGTCTCTGGCCGAATGGCAGCTGCAGGCCCAGGCCTACAGTACACAGATGGAGTTAAAAAACCTGAAGGAACAACTTCACATCCAGGTCCAGGAAAACCAGAGGCTCCGTCTCCAGAATGTGGAGCAACAGGAGCAACTGCGGAGACTGGAGGAGAAGGCCAAGGATCAGCAGGAGATCCCAGAGATCCCAGGATTCACATGTGTGTGTGACCCACAGCCAGAGGAACAGTTGGCCCTGCTGCAGGACTCTCTCCACAGGGTGAGCGGTGAGAAGGAGGGGCTCACCAGCATCCTGAACTCTGAGCTGCAGGTGAAGAAACATCTGCGGGAACAGCTGGACCATGCAGAGGAGAAGAGAGAGGAATGGAAAGAGGTGGCTGAGAGAGAGAGCCAGGCGGCTCAGGAGCTGCAGGAGTGTCAGTTGGCCCAGCTGCAGGAGCTCAGAGCCACCTGTGATCTGCACATCACTTCCAATGAGCGGCTGAGCTCCGAGAAGGACGCCCTGCAGCAGCACCTGCAGAGGCAGACCCAGCTGCAGGAGCAGTTGAAGCAAGTGCAGGCCCCGACCAACTGGGGGGACCCGGAGGTGCCCCAAAAGTGGCAGGA